TGGAGGCAAGAGACTCTCTGTGTTACCACACTAGAGACAGGATAAGTAGTGTGTAAAAAGGTATCCAAGAAGGCATAACCTTTGTCAGCCTTCCAAGTGGGCAGTTGACATACTAAAACATTTTTATTGCAATTCTCCTGCAACAGAGCCTTGGAAACAATTCTTTTTTTTTTTTTCTTGTGGAAAATACCGAGGTTTTACTTCTCATCTTCATCCAAAACAGACTGTTTTCCAAACTACTGACACTTTTCTCTGAAGTTCCGTTTCCCAGAATACAAGTTCCAAATTCCAGACCATGAGATCTGTCCAAAACAGCTCAGATTTCTATTTTCAGCCTGTGCCTTTACCACGCTTTGCATATTTGGATTTATGCCAATAATTTTCTCTTAAAGACACATTTTTGGTACAGTGGAAACTGGTATGGAAAAAAGAATTTGCTCCAGTATGCAGAAACAAGCTTCAATCTCAGAGTCACTATATGTTTACACAGGACAATATTCAACAACAACAAAATGTAACTGAGCAGAGGTAGTCCCCATACCTTGTTTGACTTGGTTGGATTTTGGCATGGTTAATTTTGATGTTTTAACCTTGCTGTCTACTCTATCTATGGGGTTTTTTACAGAGAACTGGGATTTACAGACGTCCTCAAGTCCCTCTTTACCCTTTCAGAATGAAGTGATGAGTTACTAAATTAAATCCTTGCTCACTTCTCTTCCAATTTATGCTGTGTATCCTTCTCCAAGGTAAAGCACACTCATTGCTCTTCTGGAGCACATTTTCCAGTTTAGTTTTCTAAAAAAGGAGTCTGGTTCATGAGCTCCAAGAACATGATGCAAATCAAAGTGCAGTACATGAGGACAACAGTGGGATGTGCCTCAGAAGCACACTTGTGTTCTGAAATAAAATTCTAAGGTAGATGTGCCATTATACAGGCAGTGGCAAGAGGAAGGTCTTCTAAAAAAGCATTTCAGAATACTACAGTTAGGTCCTGCTCTGAACTACCTTATTGGAAGAACTTCTCTCTTGCAACATCAAAGAAGCTATGGAAACTAGCTCTCTTCCTAAGTCAGCCACCTAAGTCATGTTTCCGAACTTTGGCAAAAGCACCCATAAAGCAGGCCAAAAAGAGAGTCTGAGGAACAACTACAAAGAAGGATCAAAATTCACAATAAATCTTACTTCAAACACATTAGGAGCAGGGAATCTGCTGGGTCCACTAGTGATCGGAGAATAAAGGAGCACTGAGAGAACATAGGGGCATTGCAGAGAAGCTAAAAGAACACTCTGCATCAGTGTTTGCAGAGACAGAAACCATAGAGGTTTCTACACAGAACTCTTTTCAGTCTCTAGCTCAACCTTGAGGACATACAACTCCATAGGGGATATAACAAAGAGCTACAGCATCCTGAGTGTTCAAGTGAGGTACATGGGGTTTGCTTTGTTCAATGTGTTTTCCAATAACAGACATTAAATGAAGCTAGTAGAAGCCAGATTCAAAGCAAGTAAAAGGAGACGGTTCTTCACACAACCATAAAACTCCTTCCCAAAGGATGTTGTGGGTGTTAAATGTTTGCAAAGATTCAATGAGAATTAGACAGGTTAATGAAGAAGAAATACATTAAGGATTTTTAAATACTCAGATATTACACCCAGTCCAGGAAGTTCCTTGAACTGAAAATAGCTGAAGGCCAACTTGTCCTGTTTCATTATTCCCCAAGCTTCTTCATAATGTCATGGTTGGAGTCAGAATATTGGGTGAGACAAACATTTGGTTTGACCAAGTACGAACATTTTTTACATTTTAGTAGATACTGTTAATTCCTTTTTGCTTCTATCCTACATGTTGCCTTTGTATTTTGGATCCGTACAAAAATGGGCAGGATTGCTAATCTCCTTTATTGCCATCTCATTTTAGCTCTGGGAATTATTATTCCCATTTTAGCTAACACCATCACGACTTATATAAAGCATCCATGGTCCAATCCTGTAAGAGAAGGAGTTCTTCATTTCTATGAAACCAGCAGGAGCTGAGAACACCGAGTATTTTAAAGGATCCTGAACATGTGACAGTGAATGGGATTTAAGCATCCATTAAGAGCTGCACAGAAATGCTTTTCTGAGTCTGGGCTCTAAAAGACTACTGAGCTATGCAGGGGCTTTTACACATCATTTTGTTGTCAACGTATGCCTTCTCAGTTTCATCCTGCTTTGTTCTGATCTGGGGGGGGTGTGTGTGTGTTTAAAAGTTTAATACCTGTTTCCAAACAACTGTACAGTAATCGAATTGTAAAGCATTAAATAAGCCTTTCTCTTGGAAGATAATCATCATGGCCTAAAGGTTAGGTCAAGAAAGAAATTCCTCATTTGAAGAGAAAGTTTATTCCTACACAGAAACCAAAGGCAAAGGCCGGTTTGTATGATACCATATGTAGTTTCCATAAAACCTATGTGTTGTCTCCTGTTTCAAGTTGGGCCTGAACCACACCCTGGGGGTGAATCTCTGGATGTTTGACATATGGGATCTAGGCTGGATGCTGTAGTTTCAGACTGTTTTCATATAACCACTTTATTCTCTATTTCTGTGAGCTAAAGCCCTGCATTTATTGCTGACCACTGCTGTTAATAGAGGATAAAAGACAACAATAAGCAAAACTCACAGATGGCAAATGATTACTAGGAAGCACTCAGAGATGATTTAGTGCTTTAAACTTCACTTACATTTATTTCTGCTTCAGAAAAAACTTGCTCTTGCAAAAGGATCTAGAATACACAATTTGAAGGAAGAAAGTCAAACCCCAAGGTAGGCTAAAAAAGGTGACTACAAAACAGTAGAAAAAAGGTTTGAGCCAATTCGTAGCCATTTCTGTTGCAGCTCTTAAAATACTGGAGTGAATTTTCTACTGCAAGGAGTTGACTTGGAAAGCCCTATTGGAAAGTGAAAGCCTATTCTTCATTGAGCTCTTTATAGTACTGAAAGAATACATGAACTTCTGATCTTTAGAATATGTATATGCTTTATTCCTGGCCTGAAAATATATCAAAAGAAAAACAGAGGGGATTCTGGGAAACTGCCTGCAAAGTACCTTTTCCCTAAAGCCAGTTTTAAATGTCAGGATTTTTCTAGGCTACTGATTGTGCCACAGTACTTAAACAACAACAAAGCATGATGCTGGTTCTTTACATTTTCTCCAAAGTTATTAAAGTGGTACTTCTGAAAGCAGAAATAAAAGAATTCTCCCTCAGAATATACGAGTTGAGCAATGAGAATCCAACTAACAGATAATCATCTCCAGACAACAGGATTAACAAAACCTGAAGATAACAATGAGGATTTTAAACAATCATTACCACTTTTACGCAACTATTTGAGTTCATGTTGAACTTTTGCTCCATTCCAGTATGAATTGTATCATCAGTGGTTCCACTTTGGCCTGTTGCACCTCAGCTATCTTTAAAGGCTTTTGCAAAAAATGCAGAAAAACTGCATTTAAAAAAGGCCAATGGCATAACTAATAACTCCCTCCTTATTTCAAAGCATTTTGTCTGTTGTGAATGTCACACACTTAGGAAGATCTACTCCAGAATCTATTTTTTATTCATAAAGAAGTTGTCTGAATCTTAAACAAATTCAAATATAGTCTCCAGGTAATGTTTGTCACATGTTAAGATTTCTGCATTGTCCTGGAATGTAAGAAGAAACACATGATTGCACTGCCCTAATTAAAACTTGAATCCAAAAACTTGTTAACAACTCAGTTTAAAAAAATCTTCTTTGCCAACATGTGCATTGAATCCTGCATTTTTGAGATGGTTTGGGGAGATATTTTTGTTTTTTCAAAGCTGTTTATTACTGTTACTGTTATTATTGTTATTGTTATTATTATTATTAACAACATGTTCATGTGCACAAGCATATTGCTGACTTGGATCCACTTATTTCACCATACAATAAAAAGTTTTTTCATTATCTCATTATCAGGAGCCCATCTAATGGGCCTATCTTCAGTTAATCAGTTTGTTTCCATTCTTCACTGCTGATGAAAGTCCATAACTGCTGACTGCAAGAAGCTCCTGTAAGAGCACACAGTACAGTAACACATGAAAACATACAGTTTTATCCAGTCTTCACACAGTATGCTTCAATGTTTGTTCAGTCACAAACATCTCTTCTAAAATGATTGCAACTAAAGCGATGGGATCTCTAAGAAATTAGAATCATATACAACATGGAAAATTCTTCCTTCTTTTTCACTGCATGTGATATTAATTTATGCCAAATAATATTTGTGTTAAACAGTAACTGTGTGACAGATGACTACTGACTACATGTCTGTGAGGGGTGATCTAACCTCTGCTGTCCCATCTCCAAAGCATTTGGGGGAGAGTCAACCTGCAATGTGCTAAGGGCATCAATATAACAGTGTTGGTTATATACAGCCCTTCACGCTAAAGAGCTTCCAAAAAATTTCAAAAGGTGAATATTATTACATACTGCTATTCTAAGAATTTTAAACACTGTCAAAGATATTAAATGCTCTTTCTCCCCCTAAAACTTTTTTCCTTTTCATCCAAGAAGCCTCCCCTAGAGTCACTAAATCAAGTTATTGTATAATTATACTCCTAGCTGCCTCTGGCCTAGCAATCTCCAGCACGCCATTATTAACTGTTGACTTCAACATTAGTAGCAGTGCAGTGCTCATCGGGTTAGTCTGACGTTTTTTAATATAAACTTGCCTTACCTGCTTTCCCTTGCCTCTGGCAAACCAGCACTTCTACTGTTATTGTGCATGATGGCTGGAAAACACTTTCCTAAGATCTGCTTTTAGCCATGTAGCCTCCAGCCCAGTTTTACTGTCATCAAATCCAGCCTTCAGTCAGTCAAATCAATCCCCTTCCTCCTCTCTCCCCATATATGTTGTCTTTTCTGACAACTCAGCATTTGGCATTTTAATTATCTTCTGTTTCCTTACTATAAACACTTGGAAAATAAGCCTTACCTGGCAATGAAAAGGGAGATAGATTGTCCTGTTCATTTTCCTCCTCTTGGTTCACCACAGGGATATTCCCATTTTCAATATTTTCATGTCTCCCATTCTGAACTGGTTTGCTTGAGCCATTGGCAGATTGGATTAACCGCTGACGCTGCACAGTGTCAAAGACAAAACTGCCATAGTTTAGAAAATATTGACTTTGTTAAATCTGGGTTTTGCTGTCTGTCCAGCCCCAGTCATGTGAGCCATGATGTTCCTCCACAAAGCTTTCCTTCCAGTCAGCAACAAACAAATCTATCTGTGGCCTCCCTGTCTTCATCAGGCCAGTGTTGACTATCCACATCAAAATTACTGGCAGGAGTCTTTCAAGCCATGATGGAGAAAGTTGTCATATCTGTTCTTCCGCATATTTTTTTTAATGAACGTTGTTATTCTGAAGCACTTCTTACTCAACAGTTCCCACTCAAACCAGCAATAGCACCATAATCTAGTGGTAACACTCAAGACATTTCTGCACTATTAGAGTTGGCTTATGAATGACTCATTACCCAGTATGTCTTCTATTCAGGTCCAACTCTTCTCCCTCCTTCTCATCCCCTTTCCTTGAGGTAAATGTAAAGGTCCTACTTACAATTTCAAAAGCAAGACTAACCCTTGTTGCCCTTGTCAGAGTATATACTTTCATGAAGCTCATCATTGTGCCTGCAGACATGTGTAAGACTGCTACAGTTCCAATACATAGTACAAGAATTACAGGGATAACTTCTAAACGTCAGGATATATACCCATTAATACACTGGACAATGTGAGATGTAACAGTAATTTCCTACTTTTATAAAAAAATAAATATTTTTAGCTTGTTAGAAGAGATAATGCAGGATCGATAATTGTTCTCTTTTTCATGACAAATTGTTGCAAATTCCTAAAAAGTGCTCTGAAACGCCTTGAAAAATAAAGTAACTGCACAACATACAAAAAAAATCTGAAACTAGTATTAACACACCGTAATTAAAAATAGAGAAAACTACTATTTGAACACTTTGCAAAAGTTTGGTGGTAAGAATACATGAGAACATAGATCCAAAATGCTCTCGTTTAGAGAATGCTTTTGCAGATGTTGAACTAGAAAGTATCAGCTCTCTGTGCACATATCCATTAAGACAGAATTTTTTTCTGATCAATGAATTGCCTTCAAAGCAGAACTTCTACAGAGTCACCTGCTGCTGTGTGCCCTATCTGATCTTCTGCTCTTGACTGTACGCCACCAAGCTGACTTTGTAATAAACATTTCACTGTTTTACTGTTAAACTGGACTTTTATTACAAATATATTAGTGCTGCTTTCTTTCATTGGGGTATTCACAATGCTGGGTAGACACATGAACTGTGTTATGATGTTCAAATTTTAGGAACTTGTTATGAGCATGGCTCTTTGGCAACCCCTCTCCCTCATAGTTATTTATTGCTTTCTTAATGAACCTACCTCATTAATGATGAGTCGGCTTGCCATCCGCATTCTGGTGCGTGGTCCAAACTTATTTGTAATCATAATCCGTAATCCAGCTTCAGGGAACCGGTATTTGGGGGGACTGGAGCAGATGATCTCATCTACCATCACAACACTGTTTTTGCCATACTGCTGCATGCCCTTCACTAATAATCACAACGGACAGAGTTAGCTGTGGAACTGATCTTACCACGCTTCCCATCACCCAGTCATTCTTTTCAGGCTCAGGTGGGGGTAATATTCATCTGAATGCTTGAATTTACAAGTGACTTTCCTGTAATATTTCTGCAGCCTGGTGAATCTGCTCAATCAGTTGTGCACTTCGTTGAGATCACATGCTAAAAACGGATTTCACTCTGCTAAGGTAGCTACCAACCCACTCTCAGATGAGTGGGAGCAGTTTTTACCCAGCCATTCATGCTGTAGTACCAGTTTTCTTTGCTCATGTCCCACTACAGTTTTGTAAGACTTCTCTAAAAGCACTTGCACTGTGACAGTGTAGATGGCACTCCTGAAACCTCTAAAGCTATCCCATTGGATCAAGGTGCTGCACATCCAGAAGTCCCTAATGTTGTGCTCACTCCTTTTGGAAATCTTCACTTTACCTTCACAGAATATTACCAGTATCTCTAACATGACAAGATTCAAAACGATGAAGAACAATTATCAGGAACAAATGTATGTTATAAGTAAGCCTTTGTTAATATAAAGGAATTTGTACCAAGGTTAAGAGTTTTTTTCTATCGTGTTAAGAACACAAATAGAGAGAAAAAATTATATTGGGAATCAACACAAGTACAGGCAAGGACTTTCAGAGCTCAACAACAAACTAATATTCTCACAAATGCTACAGACTACACATAGCAAGTAGAGCAAGGCTCAGCAGACAGGAGACATACCCATGTGGTGTTAGAAAGGAGGGCAGGAAATATGCATATGACTGTAATAAATATTAATTACTACATGTAATAATATGTATGGGGGAAAAAACCCAACAAAATTCTTTGCTGCTTGTTTTCTGCTTTGCTTACCTTGGCTTCACCCTCCCACTCCCCTTTTGCATTAAGTTACTTACATTAAGAAGAGGAAGAGAATTTAGGAGGTAGAAGTGAAAGATAAAAATTAGTGCATGGTTCCAGTCAGGAAGCAAAGGAGATCTAACAAAACATCCAACTCAAACAAAGGAATTAAAATGGACCTGTTCTAAACACACAGAATTCTACACCGGGTTTTTTTTGCATTGTTACAGTGTTGAAATATTTTTGTTTTTCAGGGAGAAGACTGGATCCATGCATGCATGTAAATCACATCATGCAATAAAGGCTTTGCTATCTCAAGCATCTTCTCACATATTTGAAGTTGAAGAGATATATATCCTTCTATTATCATTCAACAAGAAGACTAGCAAGCCTGTAAATCACCAGTAAACAGCTATATATTTTACCCTTTAGCATTTGAGTGTCTTGCTTTGTTTCACTAAAATGAATTTTCAATGAGTACACTGGGGTCACCTGAAGTGTCATAAAGAGATCTTTGGTTTCACAAAGAAATATGCCCTACTCAGAGAACCCACTCTGTAGTCTTGTCTTGCAGCGTAATACCTCTAATGGAGAATAGAACTAGTAGTAATTTTACATTTGGTAAACATAAAGGAGCAATTATCTTCCCACCCCCCGCCCAACATCTAAAACAGATTAACCTTGCTGAGTACTGCAGCTGATGATGCAAATAAGGAGCACATCCATTCCAACGACTCTTAGAGTGTAGCAGCTTTTCTGTGAAGGAATATAATAGCCAGACAAGCTTCCTAGGAACCAATCCTCACAGAAGAGGCTACCTTGGAACCGATCGTCACAGATGAGGACGCAACCATAGTAGCTTAACATTTGCTTTAGTTAGACAAAGAAAAAGAAATGTTTTACAGCAATCCTGGTAAGGCAAAAAGGCCAGATATCTTTTTAATAGTCTCATCAGATTAACTGCTCTGAAGTGCGTTTCTCCAGTGAAGTCTCCAAAGTACTTCTTTATCTTACAGTGTCATGAAAAACACAGAAGCACTGCAGTTACTCTGGAACTGTTTCTTAGAGCACTAAGGAGACAGTGACCAAACATACTCAGCTTTGATGAAATACCATGATAAAAAACTAAGCAATGATGTAGAATACATCATTATAAAAATATATGTAACTAACTGCAGCTGTTTTGACTTACTGCGGCACATTGCTCTTATATTTTCATAACAGCTCTTCAGTCTCCTCACTTCCTATGCCCATAAACATACATACCTTGGCCCCATATGGTACAAAAAGGCTCCACCTAGGAATTGAAAAAGTGATTTTCACAAATGTGAGACAGAGGAAAGCCTTTTTCGCTTCTCCTTTGTGATATTCCTTAGAAAAATATCTTCTGAGAACAGCTTTTCCTTTTAACAAACTGCCTAAACTTCCTGCTCACCGTGAAGGGTCATCACCAACAACCCTGTCAAAATCAACAGAAAGCTTCTTGCTGACTTTAGTTGACTCCTGATCAGGCCCTCAGAAACCCACTTTTTTCAAGTTTCTGGTTTTAGGCAGGAATCGAACCATGCCACCTGCTGGAAATTTGAGTCAACATAATAACAGCCAAGGGCAGTGAGCCACATTTGTACTTTTAAGACAGGAGCGTTATTCACAAAGTACAAATATTTCACCTTTACCTGTGTGTGTAGAACTCGCCCTTGAAATTGAATTTATCTTACTGTGAAAAGCTCTCCTTTTTCTCTCTGAAACTTGAGTAATGGACGCTTTTATATTGTACCACTGGAAGCTCTTCAAAGTAATACTTAGAAGCATAACAGAGAGCTGTGCAGCATGTGAACCCCCCCTTTTATCTGCACCTTGAGCAACAGACTAACCATCCTTGGTAGGAAAAAAGCTCCTCACCCAAAGCAACTGTTCTTTTTTGGGGAGTAATCAGACTTTCCTCCTGTGGAAAATCAGATTTAAGGTTAGACCTACAACTTGGTGAAGCCAAAGGAGGTTTCTCGGTGGATCCTGAAACATGCTAACCACTGGTTGGAGGCAAGGCAGAGGCCAGCTCTAGTTCTCTCCCTGGTACTAGCAGTGCTCCTGTTTCTGAAAGCTGCTGCTGGGGAAGGTGCAGCTCAGCTTGTGAAGCCAGCCAAGTGCCAACTAACAGCGAGTCACAGGTAGGTTATGGCACGTTTGACTCAAAAGGAGCGAGATGCAACAGGCAGCCATGTGATGATTTTCTAGGACAGCTTCTTGACACACAAAGCACCCATCTACAAAGCAGCTAGGCTAACACTGCCATCCTCCTCTCCCACTGCTCACTCCAAACCCTGGCACCTCCTTAGTCTCTTCTTCATGTCCTCTCTCATCCCAGGTAGGTTTGCCTGGGATAATATCTACACTCTCACACTTTAAACAATGGTCCCTCCAACGCAGCATGTATTTGTATAAGGCATGCTGGAGAAGACAAAGGGGATCTGACTCAAACTGCAGTCTCAGTGCATCTTTAAGGGAAATTAGAGAGAAATCTGCTATGGCCAGTTGTTAGTGGAGACACCATTCTCATGAGTCCAGATTTTTATTAACTTGCTCCTTTTCCTAGAAGTTCTGCATGTTCTTCACAAGCATTAAATAATCTTCACATTTCCTGAAAAGGAAATAGGTGGACAGGCAAGCAATCTGTGCCATCAACCCTTTACCACAGAGGGGCTACAGAAGAGAGCATGCAGGGAGATGACATCAGAGCCCAACAAATGCCTCAGAGGTAAAAACCACTAGTATCTGTGTTCTTTCACTGGATCACTCTTTTCCTGTGTCCCCACTTGAATACACAAGTAACAACTGCCATAGGAGGTATCCTCTGAACCTTGTATGTATGCAGTTCCACATCCAAGTGACAGACCTCACTATATCATAGTCAATGTTCACAAAAATTCATTGTAAAATGAGATCAAAGTATTTCAAAGACGTCCTCATTTAATTATGCTACAATGTCCTATGAGAAATAATTTTAAATACCTATTACACTGTTGTCTGAACACCATACCTGAGACCAGAGTATATGTGTGCTGTCATTGCATAAACCTGTAGTAAGTGACAGTACCTACCTTGAAGAGATCCCAGCCTAAACACTAAAAGCAGAAAAGAGTGGGATTCTCTGAGTCTGCTCTAAATTCCTGTTTGCCACTATTTGTTATTCCATGAGGACCTTTCCAAATGCTACCTACATTGCTGCTGAGCTCAGTCTCCTAGAATGGGAGATGTTTGCAAGGAACAAAGAACAAGGAGACCTCACTCGTTAAGAGCAGCCCAAGAGCTCACTAAGTTACATGGTTTGTGCTTTGAAGGTAGGAATGATTTTGCTCTACAGAGAAAAGAGGGAATGGAAGAGGGATAAGACAATGATAAAAACAGGCTTACAAAAAAGCCAAAAATACCCAGCTATGTTTGTTTACCTTCAGTACCAGAAGGTGGGTATCACCTTCTTCCCCTTTATGACAAAGACACAGAAAGCAAAGAACCTGCATTTCTTAATTTTACATATGTGCTTGGCAATGTATGCAGAGCTATTTAGGCATGTGAAAGTCAGTCTTCTGAGGATCTGAACTCAACACATAATCCCTCTTGCCCACTGATCTGCCCCGACCTTTACTTCAACACCCAAGTCTCAGCTTCTAGTTCCAAACTAATTTCTGAAGTGACAATTACTTTCTTCCTGGCAAAAAAAAAAATAGATTTCTTTCACAGTGTTGTAATTCATCACTGAACAGAAAATAAAAAGGGAGCAAAATTGCCAATGTGCAAAGCAGCTTGTTTTCAAAATATAAAAAAAAAAAAAAAAAGAAATTGATTGGGTTTTTTTCATCTGGCAGTCTGACTCCTGAATTGTGAAGTTAACCCCCAAAAATTCCTGCTTATGATTGAACAGTAACACTGTTTTGATCCACATTAAAGAAATAAAAAGGATATTCTGGGAACTATTCTTTTTTCAAGTCCTGTCTGCTCAGCCTTACCTTTCCATAGTAATGGAATGGACGGGTCATCACAACTAGAGTCATAACATTTATTACCATCTTCTAGCTCATTGTTGACTGCGTCACCATTTCCAACATTCTTGCTTTTAAGGCTGAAGAAATTTTGCATCCTCACATTGTACCTGAAAGTGCAAGGGTAAGGTCTGAAAAGGTTGGATTGTTGCATTTCCTCGCCAAACTTTTAAGCATCCGAGAACAACTTATGCAGGCAACCGGTAAAGCCTAGATGCATGTTCTCTGACAACTAACAGGAAGTTAAGAGAAAGGACTATCCAATTCAGTGGCAAGCTGATAGGAAAGCAAGGGCTGCACCTATCTCTCATGAGATACAGCAAACTGCAAAAAGACACTAGTGCAGATTTAATGAAGGCAAAACACTGGAGCTGCGGATTTCGGAGCCAGGGCATTCACTATACAAAAGCTTCTTTCCTCCTGCATCGGCTTGCAATTCACCTTGCTGTTTCTCTCAGTACTGTGTTCCTCATGGCAGGTGCTTGAGCATTTCTGTGACTGTTGACCATACCTTTCTAGAGAAGGAATGCATCTATTTTAGCACTAGGGTGGAATCTAAAAGAGTTGTCAATGAACTCTGCTAAGACCTGATGTAGGAGAAAAGGGAGGCTGAAGTTTCAAAAATGGTGATTTGGGCAGGGAGGGGACCAAGGGATAAGTCTAAGCAACTTGCAGTAGAAGGGTGGACTCACAGACCCTTGCAGTAACAGTCAGACCTCTGACTCTCCTGTCAAAGGCAGTGACGCTACAGAAGAAGGATGTCAGTATAAAATCTGGTATGAGATGGTCTGAAAATAAATACATGCTTAGCAGTCTGTCTAATGTTCTTTGACCTTGTTCTCCAGAGGTTACAAAATACGTGTAATAGCTGACATGCTGTGTGCTTACAATCCAGAGTACCCAGTGGACTTTTTCATGCATCTTTGTATAAATGACATTTTCTCTCAACTTCTTCTGAAAGCTACTTTACCTCAGTGCACTGTGAAAAGTATGCCTGAAAATATTTGCTGTTGACTGAGCACAAATCTAGAGCAAAACTGATTAAGCATGAAAAAGCAAGGGATCTTACACAGAAACATGACTGGCTGTATTGTCCTCAGCAGGAAGGCCAAGGACAAAACTACACCAAAAGAATGATGGTCAATTAACACCTAAAGGGCATACGGAAGAGAAAAGCACTTACTTCATGATAAGTATGTAGAATGAATACATAATGATGAGTACAAGGCTTTCCCACCTCAAAGAGACAAAAAAACCCCCAGTGTTAAAAGGCCATTCAAACAGCTGTATGCTTTACAAGTTTTATTTAAGGGTATGCATTAAACACCTAGTACAAGTCACACTTGTGTACACAGGATTCACATCACTAAGATTAGACTGTGTCTCAGCAGAATCGGGGGGGGAAGCAGACTCTCAAGTTCCAATAAACATGCAAATAAAATGTAATGCATATATTTCAGAAATATGCTATGCAGACTGAAACCATCAGTACCCTTTGAGTATCGTAATGCCAAGGCCTTTTGTCATTTCAGTGCTGAAGCACAGGCCAGGCACTCTGAGAGGACTCTTTTACAAGATGCTTATTATCTTCCACTAGGATTCCAACTTGGACTGTTCTTTGGGACACCTAGCATTCCCATTAATGTTAACAGCCAGATTCAGAGCAGCAGAACCTTGGTTACTCTCTCTGCACGTGAGTCCTCTGGCCTTACATACAGCCTATTTACTTCATTAATGTTTCCAGGTTCTTAAACTTTCTTTTAGTTTTCCCTCATCATCATAAAAAATATAACCAAATAAAATACGTAGGATTTCCTAGGTGTCAAATCCAGCTCATGTATGAACGAAAGCTCATTAGCTCATTACACTGTAACTCTATTTACTGATCCTTCTCATGGCAACTACAGGACTGTAGGGAATAACTTACACAACTTACCATTCTATTTTCTCATCATATATGAACTAGAAGAAGGGGGGAAAAAAAAAGGAAACACATAAATTGACCATTTCTCTGATCTATCTTGAAAAATGGTCAAATTCATTTAATAAATATCAGTCATATCTAGCCAGAAGCGACTTGAGTTTTGACCCTTTCTAACCAGAACATTCACTGTATGGATTGCGCCCCTCACAAAGTACAAATCTTGTGAACAAGACTTGGATCCCTCTTAGTGATTATTATAAATACTATTTAGTAAAACAGTGTGAGCATGTGAAACACAGACAAATATGCACACATGTACCCACATGCTATGCTGTGGAAATGACAGCAAAGTCATGTATTCTGAAGAGATGTAGCTCTGAGTCCTTTTAATAGCTAGACTAGTTTTAGCAGAAAAGACAGTCATTTTACTTCTGCTTTTAAGCCAAGTGGTTATACACATTTTACTCCACATTATGTTACTCCTGTAACTGAACAGGCAGCTAGTGATCCATATTCCTTACATTCAAGAACTACTACACTGTTCCAGATGGACAAAGTGGTATCTCACCTGTGCTCTATTTAGAAAAATTTACCAAGAATCTGTGAAATAAAATTACTGTGTAGAAGCAAGAAACAGGCACCTTCCCTATTTAAAACAGAGGTGCAGCTCAAAATTTTTTATCTCCACAGCAAGCAGTCCCCTAGGTCAGAAGAGAGTGCTAACAGCACTGTGTAACAGTAGACTGCTAGCCTGCAGAACTTTACAGACTGTAGGTACAACATGAATGGATATTGATGGTCATGATGGACACATACTCTGTGGGGCTGTATGAAGTTTTCATATTTGGACCATATTGTGCAGCTGAGCCCTCACTTCTGGATATCACTAGAACTAACTAGGAAAATAATTGTTTACCACTGTATACCAATGGTCAGCAGGCTGGTCCTCCAAAAATTCAAGCAATGAAACACATTAACTGGTAAGAGAACTACTTACAACAATAAGTACGATCACAGATATTGTGTAGTACACAGAGTCCCGGAACACAGCCCACTGGGTGAGACAAACCACCTGAAAAATATCACACCTTCAGCCAACAAAAATATGCCATTTTAAAGACAAAACAAAGGCCTCTATCTTGCAATCACTTAGGTGTGTGAGTAGAATTATTATTAGCAACGATTCTGGAACCAATCACAGTTTTATGCTAACAAAGACATATCAGTCTGTTAGACAATGGATCTATAACAACCACCAGTAATAAAAATCATATAGAAATTTCCATTAATGAAATACATTTCTTACTAATGATATTTTAATTGGTCATAATTTCAACTGTAAACTACAATTCATTGTACTGCAGCAAATCAATAGTTCCCACTTCGTTATATTTGTGGATATATCGGATTTAATACCTGAAAAAAATATGATACACAGTCTACCATCTACTGAGTAGATGGACTGAATCTCATGCTTGTGTCCTAGATTCTTTGACCACCATCAGTACACCAGGAAGGATCAGCAAATGCACTGATCAGTTGACTGTGAACACAGTATTGTATGAAGAGGAACCGGAACCAGTTTCCTCTGTATGCTACATGTTCAGAGTGCTGAAACTACAGCTGAACTTTCTGGAAACAATTGCTGTTTGTAAATAATTTGTAAATTCTTTACAACATTTGACATTTTTCACAATGCTAGTTCATTTTTGGTTTTGACTAATACTCTTTTTTTCTCTTTTTTTTTTAAATATTTGCTCATGGAAGCCCTCAAATTGTAAGAAATTGAACTCCATAAAGGTAAATATCTTACTAACCTGTCCTGCAAACATTCCACAGACACCAACAATGCACAGGATGTTGAAAACTGCTGAACCGACAATGGTCCCTACTCCTACATCTCCGTGAGTGATAAATACACCTGCAGAGGGAGCAAAACACGTTTTATTACCTCTGTCATTTCATTTTAGGTCACATGCAATTACTTAGAACAGGCACAACATGAGAACAAAAGATGTTTGAAAGTTTAACCAAAACCTGTTTCATAATAAATGCTCACTTCTCTGTGGAATATTTTGTGCTTTTAGTCTAGCTAGCAGCTCCCCATTTTTGGCTTAACATCTCTACATATGTATTTTTATTAAAAGTAAATGATTTCTTAGCTAGTTAGTTCAACAGTAAGTCCTGTATTTCACAGCTTGGTTGTGAGTGGTGCAGTAATACATTCAAATGAACACAAAACATCTCCAGTCACATCAGGAGCATGGAATTTATTTCAAACAGTATAATAAACCACATAAGCCTTTCTCCCAGTATTTAATATTTAGTGTGTTCTTCCTTGCAATGTCTTATGGGAGTAACAGATTCTTCCCTCAAAAAACTGGTAGCTGCTTTGGGTGCAGTAATGCGTGCCTTTTGACTCGAACAGACAACCAGGATTCAGACTTAACCTGTTCTAGTACCAACTTTCAGATTTCCATTAGTACTGAACCCACCTATGCCTCAGATACCTATCTGTAACATAATTGTATCAGAATGACAAAAATTAACGGCTGGAATGGACCTCCAGGGATTATCTAGTGTAATCTTCAGCACTGAGACAGAACCAAAGATAACATGAATGCACTACAGAGCTGTATCTACTTGCACTTTAAATCTTTTGCTAAAAGGAGCCTTAAGGGCTTACTCACTGCTTTTTAATAAGTTGGACATGAGGTTATAGTGCATTCCTTTAGACTGTATTTCCCTGAAGTTTGTAAAAATGTCAGTTGGGATAGTAGCAGAAAGCCTACTAAGGCTTTACTAAAGACAGATTTATCAAATTTAAGCCACCATGCTGCTAGAAAGCTACAACCTAGTTGCCATTACTGAAACGTGGTGGGACAAATCTCATTACTGGAGTGTGGCTATCAATGGCTACAGGCTGTTCAGAAGGGACAGGTGAGGAGAGAGGGGCAGAGGGTTGCCCTGTACATCAAGAAACAGATAGATTGTGAAGAGCTTGTCTCTGAAGAATACCCACGAGCAGGTTGAAAGCTTATGGGCAAGAATTAGAGACCAAGGCAACAAAGGAAACCTTGTGGTTGTGTCTACTACAGGCCGCCCAATCAAGGGGAGCCTACTGACAAAGCCTTACTCCAGCTACAGGAGGCATCGTGCTCGCAGGCTCTCTTCCTGCTGGGGGACTTCAACCACCTGACGTCTGCTGGAAAAGGAGCATGGGGAGCTGTACACAATCCAGGAGACTCCTGGAGTGCATTGAGGATAACTTCTTAAGCCAGGTAATAGACAGCCCTACCAGAGGGGATGCAATACTGGACCTGTTGGTCACCAACGCAAATGAGCTAACTGGTGACATCAAGACTGGAGGCAGCTTGGGCTGCAGTGATCATGCACTGGTGGAGTTTGCAGTCCTGAGGGATATGGGTCAAAGAGTAAAGTCAGGACCCTGAATTTTAGGAAGGTAAATTTCTAGCTGTTCAAGGAGTTAGTGAGTAAGACTCCCTAGGAAACTGCCCTCAGGGACAAGGGAGCAGAACAGAGCTGGCAGATCTTGAAGGACACTTTCCATAGAGTGCAAGAACTCTCAATCCCCAGGTGTAAGAAATCAGGAAAGGAAGGCAAGAGACTGGCATGGATGAGTCGACGTTTGCTGGTCAAACTAATGGGAAAGAAGGAAATACACGGGCAGTGGAAGCAGGGACAGGTATCCTGGGAAGAGTACAGGGATGCTGCCTGGTTGTGTAGGGATGGGGTCAGGAATGCCAAGGTGCAGCTGGAGCTCAAGTTGGCAAGCGATGCAAAGAATACTACAAAGGGCTTCTGTAGGTATGTCAGCCAGAAAAGGAAGGTCAAAGAAAGCATAAACCCTCAAGATGAGCAAGACTGGCAAACTGGTAAAAATGGACAAGGAGAAAGCTGAGGTACTCAACAACTTTTTTGTCTCAGTCTCTACTGGCAACCTCTCTTACCACACCTCTTGAGTGGATGGACCACAAGACAGGGACTGGGGCAGCAAAGTCCCTCCCACTGTAAGAGAGGATTGGGTTCATGACCACCTGAGGAACCTGAACATACATAAGTCAGGGGGACCTGACAAGATGCATCCCAGAGTCCTGAGGGAATTGGCTGATGTAGTTGCCAAGCCACTCTCCATGGTATTTGAAAACTCGTGGCAGTCAGGTGAAGTCCCTGGTGACTGGAAAAAGCAAAACGTTGCACTCATTTTTAAAAAGGGTAGAAAGGAGGACCCTGGGAACTACCAACCCTTCATGCTAAGGCACAGGGAGGACAGGGAGGTGATTCGAGACAGCCAGCATGGCTTCACTAAGGGCAAGTCCTGCCTGACCTAGTGGTCTTCTATGACAGAATGACTACATCAGTGGACAAGGTAAGAGCTACGGATGTCGTCTATCTGGACTTCCGTAAGGCCTTTGACACGGTCCCCCACAACATCCTTCTCTCTAAATTGGACAGATATAGATTTGATGGTGGACTGTTTTTTTGATGAGGAATCGGTTGGATGGTTGCATCCAGAGGGTAGTGGTCAACAGCTCAACGTCCGGATGGAGATGGTGATGAGTGGTGACCCTTAGGGGTCCATACTGGGACAAGTACTGTTTCATATCTTTATCAATGACATAGTGGGATCAAGTGTATCCTCAGCAAGTTTCCAGACAACACCAAGCTGAGTGGTGCAGTTGACATGCCCGAGAGACGGGATGCCATCCAAAGGGATGCGGACAAACTTGAGAAGTGGGCCCATGTGAACCTCATGAGGTTCAACAAGGCCAAGTGCCAGGTCCTGTACATGGGCCAGGGCAATGCCCAGTATCAATACAGACTGGGGGATGAAGGGATTGTGAGCAGCCCTGCAGAGAAGGACTTGGGGGTACTCATGGATGAAAAGCTGGACATGAGCTGGCAATGTGTGCTCACAGCCCAGAAAGCCAACAGTATCCTGCACTGCATCAAAAGAAGCACGGCCAGCAGGCCAAGGGAGATGATTCTCCCCCTCTAGTCCACTCTGGTGAGACCCCACCTGAAGTACTGTGTTCAGCTCTGGAGTACTCAGTACAAGAAAGACATGGACCTGCTGGAGCAGGTCCAGAGGAGGGCCACAAAAATCATCAGAGGGATGGAACACCTCTCCTATGGAGAAAGGCTGAGAGGCTTGGGGTTGTTCAGCCTGGAGAAGAGAAGGCTCTGGGGACACCTTACTGAGGCCTTTCAATACTTAAAGGGGGCTTATAAGAAAGATTGGGAAAAACTTTTTAATAGGGCCTGTTGCGATAGGATGAGGGGTAATGGGTTTAAACTAAAAGAGGGTAGATTTAGACTAGATATAAGGAAGAATTTTTTTACGATGAGGGTGTGAGACACTGGCACAGGTTGCCCAGAGAGGCTGTAGATGCCTCATCCCTGGAAGCATTCAAGGTCAGGTTGGACAGGGCTCTGAGCAACCTGATCTAGTTGAACATGTCCCTGCTTATTGCAGAGAGGTTGGACTAGATGACCTTTAAAGGTCCTTTCCAACCCAAACTATTCTATGATTCTATGAAATTTGCTGCTTTCCCCCTTCTCTACCAGTGTAATCCTGTGTCCTTCCTTCTCTTAATAGGAACTGCTTTTGGCATTTAGACTTCCTCTCTATACCAATAATCTTTAATATTTCAGAGATTACTTCAAATAATTCTGTAAGTAATATACACCATGTCCTTCTGCCTTGAGCAGATCTGACTTATCTATACATTAATTTGTTCTTTTCCCATGTTCCTTGTTCTCCTACTTCCTTGCTAAAATTAATTCCCTTTATTTGTGAAGAAAGAAGCCGAAGAGGCATCAAATATCTCAAATTCTCTCTCAGGGGACTGCAATAAATCTCTTCTTTTACTTCCTGTGTTGAGAATCAGCCATTCCTCTTTGTGTTTTGAGAGGAGATTCACAGTTTCATGAGATATTTTGAGTAGTTAATTATACCATGAACCACAGACTAGCTGACAGCTGCAATTGCTGATCATAAATTGACAGAAGAATGGTAGCACTTTTGGATACCTCTGCTTGAACTGCTGCTGATTTTTTAACAGCAGATCTCATAAAAGCTAGTGTGTGGGCTCCATACCTATAACAGATGCAAACAGTTCTGGAGTGGAGCTCCCTGCTGCCATGAATGTGGCTCCAGCAACATCTTCACTCAAATGTAGTTTCTGGAAGAAAAGCATTGGTAATTTCAGCACTGCTACTGTATTTACATTGCACAGTTCTACAGCTGCAAAGATATAAGCTCTTCATTTTCTGGCCACAGTGCTGTTAAAGGATGAACAGTCACTATGATACAAAATTAGACACTGCCTTTTGAGAAGGCAAATATACTTTGGGCAAGAAAAATGTTTATACCCTAACTCAATGAAGTATCAGATAAAATTACCTACTTATACATTACTGAATAGCCAATTGTGGCTTACATGTAGCTGATTAGAGAAAAGTATCTCTGCAGATTCAAAAAGGTTGTAAACATCTCAAATTGTTTTCATTAATTTACTTTTGGAACTCTAAACACAATCATTCAAGAATTAAGGGCAATTCTTGGGGCTTCTAAAATTTGAAAACAAAAATCCATAAGAGAAAAATATAACCTCTGTGAATAAATCTTACAAACAGCAGGGCTGATTCTGGCTTCACTTTACAACTGTGTTAATCAAAAGTGAGTCTGCTGACACAGGCAAAATAAGTCCAATTAGACACAGAGAGGCCTGTGTACTGAAGACAGGTCTACTTTTATGACAGTGTCTCTTAAGCTCTAATAGGATATAGATAACTTAAGAGTTCTCAGGCCAGAAGAAACCTGAGTAGCTCCACGAGTGGGCTGCATCCATTTAATATTGTCTGAAGATCTTTCCCTTGAACTATAAAGAGGTTTTATGGAGGAGCTTTTTCCTTTTTGAGAGTCTCTAGACTCATCTCTAGTACCTTATTTTTCTTCCAAGGATAGAAAAGTGATTAGTGGCAAAAGGACCAGTACAGAAATCCTGTTTTTTTCAGGTAGTATGCAACATTTTGAGCTGATGAAAATTACATCCTACAGAACTTGACAAAACATAAATACAAGCCCTTATTGTACCATTTCATCTATTACCAGTCATATCGTTGCAGGAGCTCAAACGTAACTATGCTCTCTGAATTCTTCTTTGCTGTTTTAATGTTCAGCAGAACATGAGACAAGAGGCAAAGATTTTATGAAGGATCAGTGACAACTTAATTGGTACAACCCAACTGGTACAACTTAAATATGGTGTATAAGGTGCATGTTGAAGACAGAGCATCTGAATAGGGATCTTTTCTTTCCCTTTTGAGTATTTTACTATTATCGGCCACCTGCCTTATCCTTCTACTTGTTCTCCTATTGATAAGTGTAAGTACCTAGCTCTGAGTAACACTAATAGGAATTTAGTACACATATCCACATAAAAATAGACTTTTTAACTAGTTACACAAGTTTTCCAGAAAACGGGTACACACATTTTTGTTAAAAAGCAAAGGAGATGAGATTTTCATTTTGCCCTCAGAAAAGGAATTAAAATCTGATTTTGTATTCATTTTGTAGTAGTTCACCAAAGCCTGACCTAACACAACATTTATATGGCAAGTATAAATTCTACCCTGTCCCAATCAACTCACTTAATTAGAATCCCACATGTAATTTTACAAAGTATTCTCAACAATTATGTAAAGGAATTACATTTATGTACTAATTTTTTGCATATAAAATATGTATTGTCATTCCATATCAAATCAAGGCACATACTTTTCTCATGCATTCTCCCTTTTCTCACTTTCATCCACTTGATGCTAGGACTGCATACACTTGCTTTCTCCTTGCTGATACAGTGGTAGATGTGCAATAAAATTTGCATAGCCAACACATTAATTTGTCTATGCATGATTTCTTTTCACAAGTGACTTTTAAAACTAGGAGTACAATAATAAACCCAACTCATCCATATGTCATACCCATCCTAGCTACATGCTTCAGGTATTTAAGAGTGGATTTTGCTATCTGATCTCATTAAATCTTTCATTTCTTCTCCTTGAGTGTGGCCAGGGGGACCAATGTGTCTAGACCACAGGTTCATTTTTTGATGGAAATCTCAAATCATTTGAAAAGGACCAAGGCCTAAAAGTTGACAGGAATGAACTCCAAACAAAGATGGCACAAAATGTTTGATTCTACAATATTCTCTAAATAAATTTCCAAAAGGGGAATAAAGTACTTTAACATACCTCACAAATTTTCTCTAAGGATGGAACAAAGAAGTCATCACATACTATAGCCAAAGCATAGAACATATAAAGAGCCTGTAAAGAAAATAAATTCAGGAAATACTTCAGATGTTTCCTGTACGTGAAAAGAGGAAAGAAGGCAATGCTGTATTTATTCAGAATAGCAGAAATATATAGCTTCATTTTTTATTCTACTCCAAATAAAAATCCCTCTGCTGATCAATTTATGGCATAAAAACAGGTTCCTGAATGTAGGATTATTTTAGAACAAGAATGTTTGCCAGAGCCTAGAATATGAAAGGTACCACAGGTTGACAGAATAGGGTGGCACAACAAACTTCATATAAAGGAAAGTAATGGCTAAGGCTTACAGAGTTACATAGTCATCACCTATATTTTCAATTAATTATCAGACCAAGTAATTCAATAGAAAGTAACACCATGTTGATTAACAATACTCAAGAAATAATCACACCTGGAAATAAGTGGACCCTGACCATGGCTCACTGCACCAAACCTTTCAGGAATGATCCTGGTTCCCTGCACGCATGTGTCTTACGTGGCTTTATTTGTTGTGCTCATGCAGTGGTGCTAACCCTGCTGTTGTCCATCAAACACCAATCCTTTCTACTTTACTTTCCCTGAGCTGGGAATGGAAAACTGGAGCCTGCAGGCCTTACTTGTTTTGTTTTTTCTACAACAAAATATAATACTCCACATGACACATACTGTGTTCAGCTCTGGGGCCCCCAGCATAAGAAAGACATGGACCTACTTGAGTGGGTCCAGAAGAGGGCCATCAAGATGGTCAGGGGGCTGGAGCACCTCCCCTGTGAGGAGAGGCTGAGAGAGTTGGGGTTGTTCAGCCTGGAGAAGAGAAGGCTCCAAGGAGACCTTATAGCAGCCTTCCAGTACCTAAAGGGGGCCTACAGGAAAGATGGGGAGGGACTCTATCAGGGAGTGTAGGGGTACTGTAGGGGTAACAGTTTTAAACTGGGTAGATTTAGATTAGATATTAGGAAAAAATTCTTTACTGTGAGGGTGATAAGACACTAGAACAGACTGCCCAGAGAAGTTGTGGATGCCTGGAAGTGTTCAAGGCCAGGTTGGATGGGGCTTTGAGCAACCTGGTCTAGTGAAAGGTGTCCCTGCCCATGGCAGGGGGGTTGGAATTAGATGATCTTTAAGGTCCCTTCCAACCCAAAACATTCTAGGATTCTATGATTTTCTATATTTCTTCAGGGCTGTTTTTATTCTAATTATAATTGCATCTTTTGCATAGAGGCACAACAGGAAAGAAAGAGAATCAAGAATCTTCCACATCATGCTTGATGTCATCACAATGAATCCCAAACCCTGTTTATACAAGATGAAATAGAAACAAATACAAGTCTGTGATCCATGCAGTCAGGATTTTATCTCCGAGAAGATGGATGCATAGGCACTGTATCAATTTCTCAAATAAATCATAGAATCATAGAATCATTTAGGTTGAAAAATACCCTTAAGATCATCGAGTTGAACCATTAACCTAACACTACCAAGTCCCCCACTAAACCATGTCCCTAAGATGTTATCTTTTGAGCATCTGTACCGATATAGACATATTAGAAATCCTGCAATTAAAGTATGAGAAACATGTTGACATATACAGAGCTTTATTTAGTAAGGCCACTAAGATGATTAACATCTGACAAGACAAATAAAAGGAAAACAAAAATGAAGGACAGTAGAGGAAAACTTACGGCAATGATATGAAGCAGAACTCCTCCTTGCTGCCGTTCTTTATTTGTAAATACATCTTCAGGAAATTCATTAATTGCTGAAAGAGAAAAATATGGGTTTTGGTTTTGTTTTTTTTTTTTAAATTTTACAGCATCTATAAATGGAAGACTGAAAAATAAGGATGCATCTGTAGAAATATATGACCAAACGTGAGTGTATCTTCCAGCTTATTACATTATAGCTTGCCACCTCAGAATCTCTTTTCTGCTCTGTAGAAAAAACAGAGAACTGATACTTAGGTGTTATTAATTATCATCATTCCAGTGACTTAAACTAACTTCCACTGTACTAAGATTTTCACATTCTTAATGCCTTATTTTTACGATCATCTTCTCTGTGTCTCCTCTAAATATACTTCCAAAGTGATAGCCACAGGCACAAAAATTAATCCTGAAATAATATTCCTGGCTTCAAGTGTGCCTTGCCTGAAAAATTATACAATGGTTGTAGCCCTCCATCAGGTTCTTAACTACAAACTTTTATAGGGCTCCACAGTCTTGCAAATGGTTTCACAAAGATTAAAGTGATTCCAAGTACCTTCTTCAGAAAGTCTACTATCTAAATCTGGTGAAGGAAGGAGTGAAACAGAAGTGGTAGGTGGATGACAGGAATGTGCAAAGACATGAGTTCCCCCAATGTAGCAATAAGGGAGGAATAGCCTTCTGGAATAATACTGGAATACCATCAAATTTAAGAACTTCTTGTCAGCTACACTAGCTGCCAAAAGCAAAATTTCTCAGAGGAGTTATTCCCTACCACACGAAATAAAGTATGGCAAAAAATAAGTCAGCACCCAAAGCATGTGGTTTTAAATAAATTCTGCCCATTAACAATTAATATTAACTAAAATGATTAATAACTAAAAAAGCATTAAGGAGATTTCTCCTTTGGGAGAAAAGACCCAGAGCTACAGCTGCTGGCATCTTACACAATATGGTTGTTCTTGCATCACTGTCTGAAATGCCACGCCCACATGGATGTATTCAGGACATGTATAATATTTTTCTTATTGCATCCCCCATTTGTCCTCTGTCTCCTCCATTCAAGCTGTGGCTGTGAGAATACATGTATTCCAGCAATGCACTAGGACAGCAGAGACCAGAGCCCTGGTCTGATTCTCTAGCAATGATAACGTGACCCTGCACATGGGGTACATCCTTTCACATAATCTGATGCAAAGGTTTGCAGCTCCCACCACAGGCACTTGTGCATCCCCCTTACTGCCACCATATAGCGAGGCAATATGCCCCTGTCCCATAATTTGACCAAATGGATGTGTGTCATCGGGGAAGTTATTACCTACCTGGTAATCTCATTCAGTTGACTGTAAAATATTTCACAGTACAACTTTAAAAATTGTTGTCAGTATAAACTGAAGTTTCAAGAAGCATGAATAAAAATCACTATCTTTCTAACCTTTCTAATGTGACTTTACTTATTCGAAGTTAATAGTAAATAGGAAATCAGAAGGACAGAAGATAGAAATGAGCCCAGGTATCTGATCACCAAGCAAAAGCAAACCAGCTTCACTGCAAACCATCTTGCTTCATATATAGTCTGGTGATGAAGTATTCGTAATAACTAACCGCTTGTAATAAACTTCTGCTTGCCTCACAGAGGTAGTTTTAAATGAATTGGTATGAAGACAGCTTTTCTCAAAGATAATGCTCCTCTCTACACAGAACTCATGGCATGCAATTTTTCTCACATAGAGTCACTACAAAATCTTCTTTAAAAGCCAGGGAAATGAAGCAAGGCTCTGGAGCCTGCTAAGTACGATTTCTTCCCTAATGAAATGGCCTCCTGCCAGTGAGTTCCAAGGCAAAGTTTGGAGTTTTTCAGTGTAAGCATGTGCTGTCTGTATAGCTTTATTATCCAGGTAATCATAGGTTTTGTGTAATTGTCATCTATAAATTCTGTATACCTTATCTACATGCACTGTTCTTCATTTACTCACTTATCATGGTTTTAATGTTTTAAATAAAGATTTGGTTTTCTTACCTAATGCTATGATAACCTGGTTGTTCAGAAAAAGGCTGTTTGAATTCCCTTGGCTCCTAGCTTAGGCCTGGGAATCAACATCATTTAACTGAGGGGAGCAGTGGTATTCCTTCACCTGTATGAGCTGACAGAGGGGATACGACATTATCACGGAGTTTGAGAGAGCACGGTCTGCCCTCATGGTACAACCTGATGTGTGTGAGCAGCAGGGCACCGCTCTACTTCACACAGAGATATTTTCTCATGTATGGGAGACAGAGCTATCTGGCAGCCTGAGTGGGAGCTACAACTCCTTGGTTTCTACTGAAAAGAGATAGAACAGATGGGAGAAGGAGATAAAATGAAGAGCAGTACACCTAATGGGGCTAACCTTTGCCAAAAAAAGGAGGGGAACATACACTAATCATCTTAATCAGATAGAAATACAGAAATATTTATCCTGCTGGTACTGTTGCAAGCCCCTGGCTCCTGCAGCTCCTCTTATCAAGCACAAACTTATTGAGGGGGAAGGGAGGGCACCAAGAAAACCAAGTCTATATTGGAAACGTCATCGTTCTGCAGCTCATTTCGCTACTGGGGAGGGGGAATGAATGAGGAAACAAAAGCAGCTTACCCAGCCACGACTTGGAGGGGATATCACCACCTTTTTCTCTGAGTCATGGAAACAAAAAATCCTTGATTATGCTATAACAGAAAGGATGATTCACCTTTTGATAAAAAGCTCTGGTTGAGCTGCCTGTGGCTAAAGAGCTACACAAAGCATGCAAATAGCATGCCTCAGAACGGAATGTAATAGCAGCTGCACAGCTTAAGCTGTCTGCATGGCTCTGGAGTGAAGGTCTGGTATGCAGCAGCCAGGGTAACCCAGGCATGCCAGTGGCACCTGCCTGGACTTAGGCTGTTACCGGATTACTTCTGGGTACCATCACAGCACTGTTCCCATATCCCCTATCCATACTGTGACAGGCAGTGTGCCAATCAAGTTAAGTTTCAAAATCTCCTAAGCCTGACAGAACATCTCAACAACCACGTGGATCTGTGGTTTTATAACCTGCCCCAACATGTGATTTCTTCACCTTATCAGCAGTTGATTTACTCACAGAGGCAACAAGCATGCCAACTCTTAATACCTGCTAAGCATTCAAGCCTGTTACAACTCTTAAATGTTTCCTCAAAGGGAGAAGGGAGCTGTAGCTGTTTGAAAGGACACACACAATCAACTCCACTCTGCCTTTGCAGGAAGGGGGCTAGACAAATGATGTACACAGAAGCCCATTTCTCCTTTTAATGCCTGCATCTTGTTCCTCTGCCCTTGTTCCTCTCTCCCTTCAGGACATGTTACATTTACAGACTGCAATACCTACCACTTTGCCCTGGCATTCAGGGGCTGCTGATCATCAGACTCACCCAGGGCAGAAGTATAAGGGGAAGGACAGATGGAAGACCGAATTACATACTTCCACTTTTACCCCTCTATAATCATATTCACAAGCCAACTTGAATATTTCAAATACGTGTAATTTGTTTAAGCACTGCAAGCAGCTTTAGGCACCTCTGCACTTAGTGTATTTCTGCTTATGTGCAATTCCCTTTTCACATTGCAGAGCCTCAATTTTCCAAGGCCTGGTGTTTCATTCATACACATGTGTTTGTGCCTCAGTGACAGCAAACAAACTCCTCACGGTGTGCAGAAATGAGCTTCTTTATACCTGTCAAGCAAATGCATGCATCGTTACCTGGTGTCAGCAGTAAAATGCCAACAGTTTGTGCACCAAGAATTGAACTTGCAACAGCCTTCACAGTACTGCAACCTGCACTAATTTATAATTCTCTACTAATATAATCTGTCAGAAGATTTGAGTGCAAAGCCAAAAAATCATCACTTCTTCCAACCACATCTCCCTGAATGCAGGGGTCCTGTATAAGCTGAGTTGCAATGAATGGGGTAAGTATGTCTTAGAACCACGCTTGCTTTCAAAACATTCATGGCTTTGGCCCATACTGTTCTTCAAAATCAGCACACTGGGAAGATTATTACTGAAAGAAGGTTAGTGGCTTTGAAAGCTTCCTGATGGCAATGGGAGAAATTCCTCCCATATTCTCTTTACGACCTATGTCAAAAGGGTCAGTCCCCTGTCACATTTCACATATTAGCTCAGGTGCTGAAGCGGTGACAGTGTCAGAAATGACTGTGGTGAGCTCAGTCCAGCCAAACAGACATGTAGGTAGTCTTGGGGAACAGCATAATACGCTCATCTGATCCTCTTGCATAGCCTGTGCACTGTCAGTATTGTGACAGCAATTGTGTACTTTAGAAAAGAAAAGCAGGGCTACTTTTGCTTATTGACTTTAGTTATTTATTCCAGTATTAACACTGGAAACAAAGGCAACCCAAAGATCATATAATCATAGTGCAACTAGTTTACTCATACATAAAATTTGTCATATGAAAGTCCTCCTTTATAAGGCTACTTCCCAAATTAGATATAATAAATTTTAACAGTCATTAGAAAATCATAAATGTGCCATAGTACTTTAAAGCTATATTTTTTACGGAATTACAGAAAGCCTAAATTCATGAGAAAAAAAAAAAATCACATAAATGTCAAATTTTAAAATAACTCTTTCTAACACCACAAGCTAACATGCCCTGAACTCTGAATTGTCAGTGAAGAAAAATGGTATACTCAGCAAGTGCTTTTATACATAAAAGCTGGTAACTTAAAAATCTTACAAGGACCAAAGAAGAAAAAAAAGAACAATTCACTGAGAATCTTGGATGCCATCCAGAAAAAATGAGAAGTACAAAGCTTTAAGCTCCCATTGCCATCAGATACCTGGTTCCAGTTTTCTGTAGCAGGATGACATGTGGATTTTCCCTCGAATACTCAGTTCAGCTTCTGCTGGATACTAATCTAGGCACCAGCGTTAAAGCAAATCAGGAATGGGCAATCCAAGAAACATGCACATTTACTTGAAAAATTCTGCAAGGAAATTCCTTTAGAGACAACTCTTTAGTAAACTAGTTTCATGGAC